ATTTAAAAATAAAATAAAAATTAAAAAATAAATTCTAGAATGTATGCTAAAAGGACAATAACATTGGCCACAAGCCCAAAATTCCACCGGGCAATCAAACTAACGGTTAAAAGGGGTCTAAGAACTTGGGATGATACAGTTTGATTGTAGAGAGAATGCTCTGCCATGTCTTAGCTGCTATTGATTGTTTCTTGGTGTAAATCACAATTATTGTTGCATTTTGGAGTGTATTTTCTATCTTTGTAATTAAAAATTATATAAATATTTTACCATGTATAGTTCTCAGTTTGGATTGAATGATCTTTTACATACATACATAGTCCATTTAAATTAGTGTTTGGTTCATTGGAATGAAATGTTTAATACATCAAAATATACATTATTTTATGTTTGGGTGACTAAAAGAATAACAAAAAATACATTGCAAATGATCATTCCATAGGGAAATTTAAGAAATGAGTATTTCATTCTATTCCATGTGATTGTTGAGAACTAAATAGAATATCAGTTTTTTCTATGCTTTGGTGATGAATTTACTAATTACAATCACTCCTAGACATTGGCATATGTTATCTAAATATAATATGTAATTTGTGGTTTGACTTTCATATCCTTTGCTTGTGTTTTTGTTTTTTGGTTTTGAATCCCTTTCTTAGCACAATGTATTTTTCAAGCACATGGTTGGATATATTATTGAATATCAGTTTTTTTCTAGGCTTTAGTGATGAATTTACTAATTACAATCACTCCTAGAGATTGGCATATGTTATCTAAATATAATATGTAATTTGTGGTTTGACTTTCATATCCTTTGCTTGTGTTCTTGGTTTTTGGTTTTGAATCCCTTTCTTAGCACAATGTATTTTTCAAGCACATGGTTGGATATATTATTGAATATCAGTTTTTTTCTAGGCTTTAGTGATGAATTTACTAATTACAATCACTCCTAGAGATTGGCATATGTTATCTAAATATAATATGTAATTTGTGGTTTGACTTTCATATCCTTTGCTTGTGTTCTTGGTTTTTGGTTTTGAATCCCTTTCTTAGCACAATGTATTTTTCAAGCACATGGTTGGATATATTATTGAATATCAGTTTTTTTCTAGGCTTTAGTGATGAATTTACTAATTACAATCACTCCTAGACATTGGCATATGTTATCTAAATATAATATGTAATTCTTGTGCTTTGACTTTCATATCCTTTGCTTGTGTTCTTGGTTTTTGGTTTTGAATCCCTTTCTTAGCACAATGTTTTTTTTCAAGCACACGGTGGGATATATTATTGAAAAGTGCAATTCCTTTTACTAGGTTGTTAAATTTTTATATTTTAGCTTTCATGTTGGTAAGTTAACTTATCTCAGAGCTTGTGATTTGAAGGTAGCTCTTTTAGTTAAACTGGGTTTCTATGATCAATTTTCCATCACACATCCTACTTTTTTTTGGCACGTCCTTTAATAGGTTTTAGTTTTTTTTTTTTTTTTTTTTTTGATTTCATTGTCTAGATGATTTAAGATTATTCTAAATAACAAATATAAGTGGTAAATGAATATAGAAAGACTGATCTATTTATTTATTTGCCTTTCTTACAATTCTTGTATGCATTACCCTGCCTCTACAAGCATATAATTGATGAAGGCTGATGCTTTTACTTCTATTATTTTGAAATTTTATGCCATATTGGTCGCAATCAATCTTGTGTGTTAATTAAGTGGCCACTTTCTTCTTTGTTTTGTGGTATACCCTTATTCCTTCTTCGAAAAATTTAAACAGTATGGAAAATAGTAAAAGTGAAGTTGTTGCCTCTATATTGGCATATAAACTACAGACAATTTTCCTAGCAAGGAAATAGCTGAAAATCAGTTTTCCCTGCTCTACTTTATTTTCATTATTTTGTTTTGATTTTGTAATTTCTTTTTCTTCCTTTTTGTTGATTTTGTTAAGGTTGGCAACCTGGAATCCAAGAAAGGGTAGCTGATTGGGATGAAAATTTGGACAAGTTTGAAGATTAAGGTATTTTAAACAGTTTTGAAGGTGTATACATTTGTGATTGATTGATAAAAGGTAGTGCTACGTGTACCCTATTAACATATAAAAATTTCTCAGTGTTTTCTGTTTGTTTGTTCATTTCTCTGTAAAGGAGTGAGTAATATATTTTTTCCAACCAGATGATAAATTATGTGAGAATGCTCAAATTTTAGTTGGATAGGGATGGATTATTGGTTGCTCATCATCGATATGTATCTACTTTTTCCAAATTGTGACTTGTATGGAATCCTGACATCCTTAAAAAAATTATCTTTTTTTCAGTCATTTCACCTTTGCTAGACGTTATACTCAACGCAGAGTTCTTTATGCTCGTGATTGGTCTATGCAGGTCAGATTATTGTTTCTACACTCAAAAATTGATTGAACTAATTTGTTCGTACAAAATCTAGATTTAAGGTTTGAAAGAATGAAATTTCAATCATTTATTCATTATCCTAACTATGTGTTTCTTGGTGCCAGTATCCTGACAACAGACCCTGGTTATGTTACAAATGAATCTTCCCATCATAACCAGCTTGTTGAGAGTCCTGTCTCAGTATTTGAAGCCCATTCTGAGGTTGAAAAATGTTGAGAAGCCCCTCCAATTAGATATGAATCATATAATTAACACAGATATTGAAATTATCTTCTGGAGCAAGAACTGGTGCCTTTAACTCGTGACATTCCCTATGAGTTTGTTGCTGAAGAAGTAAGGTGATTCCGGTGATTTCATCGGTTACAGCATTAAATACCACTGAGTTTTGCGATCACATTTAATTTATCCTTTGAATTTTAGTTTTCAAAATTGGCTTTGGTAGCTTTGCTAGTTTTGTTTCATGTTTTGCTTCTCAAATATTATCTTGATTTAATACATACTAGGTAGTCATATGTGATTGCAAGGAACTATGAATATCAACTGAAACTTTAATTATCGGGTCTATATTTCATAGCTTACAATGATCCTGGATTTCTGGTCTTTGATTTTTTGGAATCTGGATTCCATAGTGAAAAGCCGAAGGCTTTAAACGTAATCTGGTGGCAATATGTGTTGAACTATCTTAAATTCTGTTGCGTTTCATCATAGCAAATCATTATTGATTGAAAATATCTCAGCTTTCTATCCATGTTAAATTTCTGTTTAGCCACAAAATCTTAGCACTGCATTTACTTCTTTATCATTGAAATCTTATGTATCCTGAAGTCTTCAGTATTTATGCTATCACAGAATTCTATTCCACTTCAGAGAGTCAGATATTGTAGGCACTGCAAGGCATATGTAAAGGGGTTCGACCATCATTGTCCTGCTTTTGGAAACTGTATAGGTAATGAAAACATGCGGGTTATAGTTCTTTACATTTTTAACTACTCCAGACAACAAAAACAGCTGTGTTTTTCGTTCTTATTAAACTAGTCTTGGATTTGGTACAACAATGGGTCTTGCTGTCTTTGTGGATGTGACATTGATATCCTTTTAATGCAGGTCAAAAAAACCATGTCCTCTTCATAATCCTCCTTTTTGGGTTTGTTTTTACTGAGGCTTCGTATGTAGAATGCTCATCTCAATGTAAGCTTGAATATATTGGATACTGACCTGCATTAGTTTCAACAATTTATTTTGTTGGTGAAATTAATTATGCTAATTATTAATTTCAAGAGGATTCACATTTGCTATATATCACTTGAATATAAAAAGGCATCCTCAATTTGGATAAGCCTCTAGGAAATTGGCTCAAGTTTGCTGTCTGAATACTCGAAGTTATGCCTATTTATGGTGACTGGATAAGGCCATAAATTGTGAATACTACTGCCTGTCATCTTTCCATTCATATGATGCTTACTTCTTTTTATGCCTTTGTTTAGAATTAGTTAGTATTCAGATCTGAACAATGAGGAAGAACTTTTTGTAATTGCTGTGAACAATCATTTCATTTTTACTCCAGTAGGAAACTGTTCATTAAAATAAAATGAAAATAACGAAGGTAGTGGTGTTTGCTTCTAATACAACTGGTTGAGCCATGCCTTATTTAATTAGCAATGCTAGAGTTGTTATGATTTTCAACACCCAAATTTTCAGTTTAGTTTAATTATATTTCAAAGTTTGATAGGCATAAGTAATATGAACAAGGTGTCTGAATTGTGATATGAGTGGCCTGTAAAGCCCCATTTATAATACATATTTTAGAATAATTTGGTTTAGTAGTTTAAACTTTATGTCCGATGTGCCCATGGTAGTAAGACTTGTCTTATGCTGAAAAATGTATATATCACAGTTGGTTGCTGCTGCGTCTAATTGTGTATGTGAACAAAATTTAGGTTATTCTTAATCAATGGACATCTCTAATTGACAAGAAGTGGAATAGTAAAGAATTCATAGTATAATGTTTTATGTTAATTGTCAAAAATTAATTTTCTTCTTACTAATGTTAAGTTTTGTTGTTTTTATTGGTGTTTCAATCGTGTAGGAACAATCACTAACTTATGTTTATATGTTAATTTAGTAGAATATTTCTTCTTCAACTAGGGTAGAATAAAAAACTACTTTTAACATTTAGGCACAAGGTCTCTGAAAAATAGTGAAATATGCATCTAACGGCCCGAAAAACATCACAAACACCTTGATATTATCAGAAATTATCATGAACACTTTTGGAGGGATCAACATAAGTTGTGAAAACTTACAGAACAATCATAGGACTCTCGGTTGGAAAACATTTAGGCTTGAAAATAGGCCGTTAAGGAGTAAAATCTTGAAATAGTCGTTAAACGGCCAAGAAATATCATGAACACCTTGGGAGAAACTAATGTAAGTTGTAAAAATTTACGGAACAAGCACGGTAAAATTTGGTTTAAAATTTACTTTGAATTTTTTATTTTTTCTCTTCTAGGTTGGATATTAACATATTTAGTGAATGGTTATCTTAACCTTTTGTTGTTGTTGTTGTTTTTTTTTTTTTTTTTTCCTTTTTTAAATGGCAGATTGGAGATGAACGAATTTTGTAACCGGCATAGTAAGAGTTTTTTGTTAATATTACCAGACACATCCATCACAGTGGAGTTGTACTTTTTGTTGATATTATCAAACATGTATTTTGACTATTTTTTTTTTTTTTGTTACAGGGAAATCCTCCCACCCTCCCGCAGGTCTAAGGCAGCGCCCCATGAGGAGATCACCAGGGTGTCCTGTTGTCCGTTCCGAGTAAGAGACTATAACCTGAAAGCATGTCCCGACCTCCCAAGGCAAGCTCCGATTAAGTCAGGACTCGCACAGCGGGGGAGCATTAAACCCACACCAAGTAGCTGATTAGGCATCCTTGAGGTCCAACCTCCTAACCAACAGTGTTTCGCCTAGGAGATTGGCCCAAGGGGGGGAATTGAACTTGTAACCTTGGGGCTTAAACCCCAAGGCTTTACCACAATGCCACAACCCCTTGGGTTAAGCATTTTGACTATGTTATTGTGGGTTATGATTATATTGTGATGGATCTTATCTTTTTGTTGATATTTTATTGAATAGATTAAAATGAATAGGTTTTTGTTGATGTTACCAAATGAACAGTTTTTTGTAATAATTTGTAATGGATATTATATTCAGTAGGTTATTAAAATGCACAAGTTATTTTGATTGTGTTGTAGTTTTTGATTTTACTAGAATAGATGTTATAGTTTGGATGTTATATATTAATTTCTTGATACTATGAGACATGTATTTTGCTTGGGTTGTTTTATGATAATGAACAGTTTAATTTTATATTGATTTGTATTAGATATTTTATTTAATAGATTATTAAAATGTACAAGTATTGTTTATTGAAAAAAAATATAAATTGCAAATATAGCCCTCCCTTCAATTTTTAAAATTTATTTATTATTGGCGACGAAAAAAAATTGACACTAAAACTTTCTAATCCCAACAAATAATTTCGTCACACATATTCATTATTTCATCACTAAATTAAAATATTTGTTGACAAAAGTTTTCGTCACTGAAGGTTTTTTTTCCATCTTTTGGTGACGATATTTTTCGTCACCAAAAATTTTATCGCTATTTTTAATGATGAAATATTGTCACCCAAAACAAATATAATAAAAGTTTATTCAATTTTAGTGACGAAATGGATGTTATAGATGACAAAATATTTAACATTTAGTGACGAAATATTTGGTCACCAAATTCCAATAATAGGTGACAAAATAAATTTTCGTCACCAGGTACTTTTAGTGACGACGAATTGATGACGAACGTGGTGACGAAATTATTTCGTCACAGATCAATTTGGTGACGAAAATTTCACTATTGGAGGCGAAGTGATTTTGTCATTAAAGTACCATTTTGTTGTAGTGATCACATCATCTTGTTTAAGTCACATCACCTCTCTAATACATCACTTTAAACACAACCCAAATCCAACCCATATTTCATGAAAAGTCAAAAAATACACTTATTTAGATCATTCCAAATAACCCCTCAATATTACCAAAAGGAGAGGTGATAGTAACATAATACGGAATCCGGCCAAATAAAGGGGTAGTTGGGAAAATCTAGGGATCATTGTGCAAATATGCAAAATTTTGGGTCCTTAATGCAATTGATAAATCTTAATCCGTAATAACAATATAATATTAAATATTTAATAATATTGACACAAAAAAGTCAAATATCAAGCCAAAACAGTTTATCTCTCTAATTTTAAGTCAGAACGAAAAGTCATTCACATATATTGATTACGGAAATGAGCCGTAGCTCGACAGGGGAGGCTCGAATTGGCTCGAAAGAGGGAGAGGAGAAAGAGAAGGGAGAGGAGGGAGAGGAAGAACGGAGGGAGGAGATCGTCGCGCAGCACCACCGCCGTCGCCTCGCCGCCGATCGTCGCAGCTTCAGACCGTCGCCGCCGTCGTCGCAGCACCTTTGCTCCTCGCCGATCGTCGCAGGTGGAAGCTCCGCCACCGCCTCGCCCCACCTCCTCCTCCAGCAAATTTTTATGGCCCCCTCCCCTCCCTCCTCCTCCTCCTCCTCCTCCTCCTCCTCCTCTTCTCCCTTCTTCTCCTTCTCTTCTTCTCCCTTCTTCTTCATCTTCTTCTTCGTTCTGCAACAAAGAGACGGAAAAAAGAAAAAAGAAAAAAAAATCGACACCAAAACGTTCGAGCTACGTAGCACTACCGTATTGATTAAACAATTCGTAGAATTAAATTAATTAAAAATGAATTAAAATAAAAGACTAAGGCCACAATTGTAGTTTATTAAAGTTTAAATTTTGAGGTCTTTACAATCGCTCCCAACTATTTTCAAGCATCCCATGCCACACTCATTATCCTTCTCTAGCCTTCTGAAGTAGTTTTCCTGTGTTTGCCACTTCTTTTTTTGTTAGTTTCCTGTCTCACTCATTGGTATCTCGTATTTTCATCTTTTGTTACCACCCCTTTCCTTTTCACATCATTCGCCACCTTAAGCCCTTTTCATATCCTCTATTGTTAGCCTGTCACTTTTTCCATCATTCACTATGAACCTTCTATTTTCCAGCCTTTCTTATTACCCTACTCCTCATTCTCATCCTTCTTGGTCCCCTCCATTCCCTTTTACATTCTCTGTCATTGCTCTCTCGCTTTTGCAACCTCCATTGTTGCTTCTTTCACCATCCTTAGCCCTTCACACCCACTTTCTTTATTTGGTCCCATTGACATGCACAACAAAAACAAAAGAAAGAAAGAGAATGGAAAAAGATGAAAGGGAATACATAAGAGTGAAAAGTCCCTCTTGCCCCTAGAAAAATGGTTATGTATGGCAAGTGTACCGTTTCAATTATAAAATGAGAGGATTGTATATACACTATTGAATTGATTTAGATAGATAATTTGTCTTCTCTCTTGTGTCAACCTTGTCAGCATCTTGGTACTCTTAGCACCTTAATCCTCTTATTCGGTGGCGGAGCCTCATGGAGGTCAGGGTTATGTGTCCCCTCGATTTTAGATTTTTTTTTGTACATATATATATAAATAAAATTTAGAATAAAATATCATCGACATTTTTAAATTTACGGCAACAATAGTGATTGTTTTATTGAAAATAAAAGGACTACAACAAATTATATTTTTATGTATGAAAATTTTGTGAAAAAATCTCAATATAAAGGTGATATTTATCATTATTAATATGTAAATATAATTAATATCACTATATATAAGTAAAAGTTATTAGTGTGTTAGTTATATTTGCATGTAAAGTTTACCCTTCATATGTTACTTTATTATTGGTTTGTGATATCATATGTCAATGATGACGTAATATTAATATTATATAAAAAATTTATTCAAATTTTGTAAAAATTTAATTTATCTTACCATTGTATAATTTATTTTAAGACTTAAATATATAACTTTTTTATATTGTCTATGATATACTAGTCATACACAATACTTTTTTTTTGATTTTACTCGAAATTAATTATAAAATTTTATGTGAAATGCTTTTGTAATAATTTATTTAAGTTTTTGTACTTAATATTATTTCAAAAATTATTATTATCTTCTTATTGTTAGTTATGAATAAAAATTATAATTATAATTAATAAATGTTATTTTTGTCTCTCCTATTGACGTAGATTCTTTCTAAAAAGGAAAAAGCTGAATTTATTTCTTTAATTTCATTTGCAAGTCTCTTGATAAATACAGGATCCGAACATAGCATTAGAATCAGTGGTGGACGCAGTGAAGGCCGGGGGTCACGTGCCCCTGGATTTTGAGATTTTTTTTTTCAAATTTTACAAATATAAAGAAAATATTTTAAATAAAAAGATTATAAAATATATTATTAAAGTGAAATATCAATGACATTTTAAAAATTATGAAAATAATAATGATTCTTTTAATTAAAAATGAAGAGATTATTATAAACCATATTATCTATGAAAATTTTAAATGTAACGGTGATGTCATTATCATTGACATGCAATTATAAGTAATCTCACTATAAAAATATAAAATTTATTAGATCGTTAGAAACATTTGGCATGTGAGGTTCACTGTCTATGTGTTTATTTACTATTAATTTGTGATATCGCATATTATCATTATATTAATTTTTTAATTAAATTTTGTAAAAAAAATAATTTAGCATTATATAATTTATTTTAAGACTTATATCTATATTTTTTTATATTATTTATGGTACACTAATTATAAATAACATTATTTTTATGATATTTTTCGAAATTAATTATAAATAACATTATTTTTATAATATTTTTCGAAATTAATTATAAAAATTTACGTAAAATTTTTTATAATTATATTTAATATTATAATTAATAAATGTACTCTAATTTAACTTTCTAATTCAGTCACTGCTTGTAATATAAGATGTAGACATTGACGTGCATCAACTTATAAACATACGAGGATAATCACATCTCGCTAATGAAAACCATTTAAACAAGCTTTCGGGAAGAACATTAAATGTTGACAAGGACAATGTACGGTCAGAGATATATATATATATATATATATATTTATCACTTGAAGTAATCACTACTTTCACAACTAATGAGAGGTGTGGTACCGGCTGTGGTTGGACTGTAGGGCATGTATGTTCTTGACAGGTATCATATATGTACAAGTGTTTATGTTGAGTTTTGTAAATGTGATATGAGAGTATGAATTGTATTTTGAATTTGTGTGTTGTGAAATTATGATTTGAGTGTAGAAAATTTATTTAGTAAAGAGTTTTGAAAATAATTTTGAAAAGAGTTTTGATTTGAGTGGAGAATTATTGATGTGACATTTGATATGTGATACAAAAATTTACAACTCATAACTAAATATACAACTCAAAATTATTTTAAAGAACATAAAAAATTTTAAAAATTTTAAAAATTTCAGAAAATATTTTTTTCGATTATATAAATCAATTGCCAAAAAAAAAAAATCACTATTCCGGTCAACCGGCCGGACGTCCCGCCAAACAAAATTTTCAAAAAAAAAGAAGGAAAAACGCGTTTGTCAAAACAGAAAACCGCAGATGTCTGTGCAGAGTTTTGAAAACATCATTTGAGAACTCTTTCCAAACACCATACTTGAATTAAGGTGTAGAATTGTGATTTGAATTCACAACCAAATAGAGCCTACGTTTTTATGTGAAACTCACTTGCTACATTTTGAATTTTGGTTTAAAGAGGATTGTTTTTTAGAGATGTCTATGCATATATAAATTAAATATGAGATATAGTGGAGGTTTAGGAAGTGGATTTTTTTATAGATTTTTTTGGTTGTAGGATATTATTGAAGAATTTTTTTTTTTTGTGTTTGGAAAGATAGTTGGATTTTTTAATAATTGAATTTTTTAATGGTTGGATGTGATGTTTGTGAGAGAAAAAATGAAATGATTATTGATGTGATATTTTGTTTGGATGTGTTTTTTTTGATTTTGTAACCAATTTGTCTTTTAGTGAAAAAAAAAAAAAAACCTAAAAAAATTGTTCCCAAACACCGCCATAATTTTCTTACAAAGGATAGGATCTACATGTGTGAGACTTATATATGAGACCCAGCTCTTGTAAAAGGGTTATCTCCCATTTTATATTGTTTTTTTCTTGCTATCTTACCGCCCTCCAAAACGACGTCGTTTTAA